GAAAATGCCGCATTGCCTGTCAATCACAGACATACAGTAATTGTCTCAAAGTGATTGATGATGCGCATTCATCGTGACACGTGTGAGAGTGAGCAATAAGAGCAACAATGTTATAGATATACGCAGCGAACAAAAAACATGAAACACTGCATCGATGAAATGATTTCGTGAAATAACAACCACCGAAAATAATCATTCAAATCATCAACAACAAAAAATCGTCTTCTTCTAATTGCATAGTAAGTCGTGATCACATAATGCATATAGTAAGTGTAATTGTCGTTCAACAATTACAAATATTCCTCGAATCAACACATAATAATTGTGTATAACATCGAATGAATATTTGCAGTTGCTCGAGTATTTATGCCGTTGTGTACGGTAAGAAAGTTGCGAATACTGCGTTGAGTATTGAATTGCATTAGCAGAGAAGTAGTAATGATGAGAGACTTTAAAGATGCAAGCAACCATCACCTCAGTTGACCTGCCAACCGGATAATCCAACCACATACAGCAATTAAGCTCATTGAAAAAAGTGATTATGATACCTTCTTGCTTTATCAAACCTGTTGTACAAAGAGATCTTTCAAGCATGACAAACTCTGTAACCCATATTTAATCGCAAGATCGAAGGAATTCAATGGAAATGTCGAAAACATAAACTAGATCCTATCGGCTTTCTACTTAATGGCCTAAACCTATCAGGATCTACTTAATCATTAAAATTACAAAAGTCAACTCGTTGTTCAAATTTCAATTATGTAATTTCATGAGTAAATCAAAGTTAACGAAATTTCCCATGTTTCAGTCTGAGGCTGTTTCGTGGGACATCAGAATAATGCATCACTGGCCAGGTCGTAGAGATCAAGCGCTAATTTTACACTCAACCACATTCTTATTTAATATGGCTTTGCTCTGGTATTGAAATGGGAGTCAATTCATTTTCTATAGAAACATCAAATGCATTGTAGTAAAGGCAAAGTATAGTGTCAGTGTATCGTTCAAGTGAACGAAACAAGACGTTGTCATCAACACGGATTCTGTGTTTATTGAACGATGCTGTCAAATATTCATAGGTTGTATGAATATTACCAGGATTAAATTAATTCTCAATCACTTTAAGTATGTTTCCTAAAATTCGATATGGAAAAGAAACCGAAAAACTGATGAATCGAGAAAGCTTCTCAATAACAAGAGGCCATCGTTATCGAATGGGCAAACAATTCATCGAATTGAAATCATATCAGAGGATAACCATCAATGTTTCTCATCATTCGCTCTATGGCTGGTCTCTTTGTCGACCACTCTATCTGACAGTTTGCACTCATTGATTACTGTGACTGACTGATGTAAGATTAATGAAGATGTGTTAAAGTTTGATCGATGATGTTTCTAATGCACAAACCCACATCACACACATACTGATGTTGCAAATGCAAGAGAATTTGCGTTTACTTATATGAAAACGATTCAACTTGAATGCTCTCCTTATCACTACTATGATCATGTTCAGTCGTTTTTCGATCCGCAAAGTCGCTATTTCGCTAACGATATTTTTGTTTTAATAATCAGCTTCTAGAATGCAATTTACAACGGTTAATTGTCCTTACAAACGAATAAACACTCGATTCAATGAACTGTTGTAAATTTTATTATCTAAAGTCTCATGATCTTCACAAGTTTCCATCCATATCATTATCAATATTCTATTCATCGTCGTAAGAATACATTATAAATGCAATTATATCATTAAATTACCCACATAAAGCGATTAATCATTCCTGCGCTCCCTGCATTCACCCAATCTGATGGTGTCTATCTCCACTTACAACGTTTGTATACATATTTTGAATGTGTATCTCGGAACTAACTATGCTAGTTTATGCTAGTTTAAAATTCCATGTTTCCGAATTTTCTCGTCCGCCAATTTTTAAGAGACCGAAAAGTTCTATGGCATTTCACTTTCAAATTTATGATGCGGATGATGATAAGACATAACAATAGATTGCCCTAACAACACAGAGTTGGTATTGTTTCGTAAAGCTATGGAAATCGTTAGCAGACTATATGTGAAAGTTTGCGAGTGAACTAATTGTGAATATTCATAAACTAATCATTACAAAATTGTCCACATACATCAAAGGAAGACATGTTAATACTGAATTCATATATCATTGTCGATTTCAAAGAAACCTGCTTTACATATGCAGTGGTCTACTTCTGAAGAAGTTCGTTCACTTCTTTTCATTAAGATGCAACAGCTGAGCCACCAAACCCTGACAAGTGTTCGTGATTAATGATCGACCTACCATATATCATTAAAGGAAGCAGTTTGTGAATGCGTCTGTCCGATAGATGCATTGTTATAAAATGATACATGAGAGAAAACCTTCTTGCTTGTGTTTTGCATATCACTGACTGTAAACACTGCCGGTTAGACAACTGAAATTAGGCGAGTAATAGGTGATTGTATGGATGTTTGTGGCAGCATAATAGAGACTGGACGTATTGCTTAGTTACAAGATGACTGCTTGAGTGGATTGGATTATAAGGTTAGAATATTACCAAAAGTTTCTTTTTCTCTATTCTCTGTGAGCATGAACAATGCGAAACTGAGAATACCGACAGGTCAAAAAGTGGACATGTTATTACAGTGGTAAGTAAGTCTTTCTAATTATATGCTTGAGAAGAAATAAAAGAGGAGTATGTAGCATATCGAGTGGATGTGGAAGAGCGGTAAACGAAGAAGAGTAATCATTGAATTTGGTTAAAAGTAATGAATGATGGTAAAAGATCATTTGAATGAAGTGAACAACTGTAAGATAGTACGAATGATAAATGAGTAAGATTGGATGTGAAATGAAGAATGGGGTAAGGGGTTGGATGGTATTTGTAGGAGGATTGAAAGCATCGAGATTGAAAGCGCGTCGCGCATCCGGATAGTGTCACTGAATGTACGCATCAATCAAACAGTGTCGAATGAACAAAAAAGTTTGCTGAAGAACGTCTTGGTGTATATGCGATCAGCAGCACAGGCATCCGCGTCGGCAATGATTGATATGCGCCCAAAAATTGATGAATCGACGAAGATTTTCTCTGTACAAGAAATCACCTCCTAAAGAAGTGATTGATCGATCAGTATAGCGCCGAGTCGAGCCACGATGCGACGTGATTCATCAAAACGTTTCTGTTTGAAACAACCATCTCTGCTGCTTGTTAATCCATTACGCAAACTAACAATTTTATGTGGAAACGATCACCAAAAATATTCCTTTTCATTTCCTTCACCAATTTCTCATTAACTCCTCTTCACATATTCACAGCAGACTGCAAACCATTCTTAAAACATCCGACAATACAATTTTAAAATTTGCAGAACTTATCATTTGAAACATGCAATTCATGTTACACTTCGTTTTTTTAGAGCTCCAATAACCAGTTGTTTTGCAACAATTGAAACTAAGCAAAAATCCAAGACATCACCAACTGGACAACGAATAGCCTGATTTACCCCAAAACGATTGTTATCTATCAATCAATTTCTTGGCCACTGTTTCAACCACTCACTAAACATGATATAACCATACTAAAACGTATTTTTCACATGAAATTTCTTACCACGAAAAGTGCGAAAATGAATTACCAAATAAATGATGTACGAAACAAAGGAGAAAGGAATTAGGCAAAACTATTTATGAAGCTTCCTCCATGTCAGAATTATTTTCATCTTTTCATCATTATTATGTGTCACTCGGAAAGATCTCCAACGTTTCTTTGATTCTGAATAGGACGCTAAGAGTAACTGAATGAATTTGTTGCATGGGGAATGTTCGAAATGTAGAACTTTGAATATCCGAACGTCATCACATTTGCTGCTCACAGGACGCATTTATAGCATAATGCATAAGAAGCAATAAAATTCTTGAGCTGGCTTACCCAATCGAGATATTTCAGGCTAATCATTCACAGTGCTATGGGTGGATGTGAAATTTGCGAAAAAAAGTTATAAAGTTGGACAATTGACACAAACAATTTTCAAGCAAACGAAATCATTCTAAAAACAGTTCGTCTCGTCATTAACCCCAAGAAAAAGAATATAATCTTTAAGAAAGTTGTTGCTTCAAACAAGAACATGAATTAGTTATTTATTTCTCAACATATATAGCTTGATTTAATACATATTATTATTACTGCTATGCAGCAATTGAAAAAACAAATTATGGAAATTAACAATTTCGAACCATAATTATGGAACAATTTTATATACATTATCAATAGAACACAAATGAGCAGACTTAAAAAGCAACAAAGCTGTATGTGTGTCTCTTCACCAAATCGTCATCTGCAGAAGTTTGAAGATTTAAGTGCTTTTCAATGGGAACAACTTTCACAACAGCAATAAAACTCGAAATTTGAAAAGCAAAAACCATAGGTATTTGATGTTTAGATTGGAACCTTTTTGTGTGATATGTGCCATTTTTGAATCAAAAAGAATGACACAATTTGTAAACCGCTAAACATGAATGTAAAACTGTCCTTTCCATTTCTTAACAAATATTCAAAGCAGCAAAATCAAACTGACGAATTGTTAAGTTATCACACAGCCAAAATCGAAAAATAGCAACGATGTAAAGAATATATTTGGCACATGAAGTTCCGAGTTAGTGAAGCAACTAATTTTAAGTAAAAATGGAATTTGCGCTGCGATCACAAATAAAAAACATCTCAATTTTAGCAGTGCAGAATGAGCAAATCATGCTAATATTACGTGAATAACAATACTAATGAATGAAACAATTTCATTGGCAATAATAATAATAATATTAATATTTTCATTATAAAAATGATAACAATAATAATAAATAATGATAATTATATTTAAATAATAATAATACTTATGACAATAATAGACTCTTAACACCGTTAACAAAATGGGAGCTCAATACCACGCAAATTACCCGCATAGAAGTAGATGAATGAAGAAATTAGATCAGTGACTGTTATGGGTGAGGAATGGTGGCCATGAGCCGTTGTGCATACATGGCCTGTAATGCGGCGGCTGACGGGAAAGCAGGCATGGTGGGGAATGGCGGAACACTAAGCGGGCTTGGCATGCTTACGTTGGGCATCAAGCCGTTCGGTTTCATGTACGGATGATAGCGCAACGAACCATGATTCATCAGTGACGCAGCAGTTGCGCGTGGAGAGGCTGCTTTCAAGTCGGAACTGCTGCTCGTGTTCGACGTTGCTATTGACGTTGACGGTGCATGAGCCACCTGAAAACCTTCATTTGATTACACTGCAACTCTCAGCAGCAAAGGTGAATGCGCTTAGTTTAAAATGTTTTCGCGAACATCATACTAAACCGCAATCACAACCGAACTCACCTTCATGTGTGTGGCCAGCTCATCAGCAGACGAAAACGATTTTCCACATATGCTATTCGGGGATTCCACCCAATTACAAACATGCTTCGTTGTCTGGCCAGATGCTGCAGCCATAAGGTTCTGATAGGCGATTTGAGCCGCCGAACTGAAAATGAATCCTTCAAGAATCCGCTCACTGGAGGAGCACAACATTCATAAAATACAGCTCAGTTAAACTTTTCATGCTGTCACGGAACGAAAATGAATCTAAAGAGCGCTGCACTGATCAATCACAGAATTTTTACACCGGGGAACAGTACAGCAATAGGCAAATAGAAATATTCAATAAAATGAAATGGAACATGAATAACTGAAAAAAACCAGCAGATTAATGATAACTCAACAAACCTAGAAGTTGGTGGCATAACTCCACCCATAAGGGGATTATATGCGGTGAAAAACGATGGTGTAAAGGCGAGCATCATATCGTTGGCTGAGACAGTTGGATTATGCAACGTACAACTGGTGCATCCTGGCGTTACGCACGGACGTGTCATCATGGTTGCAGGACAGCCTTTACAGGTAAGAGGATCAGGACATCGCAGAAATGGTGTTGGTGCTCCTGTCGGGAAAGTGGCCGAGAAGGTTGGCATGGTTGGGAAAGAAGGCATCATTGATGGATAGGGAAACGGAGGGAATCCACTTGCAAGTGGTGGAAAACTCATCGGAAAGCAATTTCTGCTATTCAACATCAGATTTGCGGAAATCGACGCACTGCTTGTCGACGGCTCGGAACTGATCGGCGTATTCTTGCCAACTGCAGGACTATGCGTCGTATGTCTTGGACTTTTTGAACCTTCCTTCTTTTTAGAAACTGGACTCAATTCGTCTTTCTTTGATTCATTTGACGAGCTGTTTGGACTGTGATTATCTTTCGACTTTTCATCCTTATTCGATTTTCTATTTGGTGTATCCGGTAAGCCAATAGTCTCACATGTCTTTGCCAACATTGCTAAAGGCGACTTGCCAGCATCAACCTAAAAAGATTCACAATATTGAGAAAGGCTTTAATGAAATAATGACAAGACCCACATTCACACAAGTAAGCAGAAGGTATTGAACACGACAGCAAATAGTGTCTAAATTCATGGATTTCAATCTCATTAATGACTTCATAGACCGTATCTCATAGATCTATTATTCGATATAACAGCAACAACAAATTGGGATCGTTTGCAGAATAATGATCGAGTTGCATCAGTACAATGACATGAACAGACTAATCGGATGTAAACATGAATGTAGCACAGCTGAAAAAAAACATGATGATCCTCTTATGTAAGCTTACGCAAGAAATACAGGCAATGGAATTATACAGATAAGATGAATGGGGGATACGGTTCATGTCTCGTCTCATGATCGATTTCATCTTAAAGATGCTCTACTGCAGAAGACAATCCAATCGCATGTAGCTATTGCACTGTCGTGCGTGATTTTTTTTGCTTATTTGCGCGATTATGAGTGAATAAATTCATATAGACTCGGTTGAATTATACAATTAATCAAAGAGCCGCTTTGTGCAGTTCAAAACTCAAAAATTCATCATGCATAGAGTTAGGCAAACATGATAAACGAACGCAACAAATGAATTCAAATCAAATCAGGTGAACGTATACTGTAAAAGAAAATACAATCGAAATCAGCACTTACCGTAGCAAGAACAGGTGAGTTGAAATCAGAGATGTATTGCGAATGTGTAGAAACCATCGAGTGAGTGAGCGCAATAAAAAACAAATGACAGTTTAAGTGCAAATATGCCGATTTGATGTTGATTTGAGAAGATGATGAATAAAGCACTCCCAGAAGAGAAAGATTAATATAATTTCGTGAAAAACCAATCAGTCGATTACGCGTAAAACGTTGAGCGACCGCTCAGGCACCTCTTAGTGAAGAGAACTGAGAACGAGATAAAGGCGGACCCTAAACAACACGTCAAACATCAAAGAGTTATGCCGCCCAGAAGTTCGGGGCGGTACTTGGGGTTGTTCGCTCCACCCAACGGATTGACAGGGCGCCAATCGAAAAGCAGCAGGCAAAATTAACGAGCCGAAGAGACGTCGATCGGTAACATCGATGAGAGGATTTATGATCTGTCGGCTAGGAGAAAAGTGGAAAGAATATGCCTTAAATAAGCATTTCGCACCACAACACAAGTGAATGATGAACACTGCTTTGTTTATTGATTGTCGTATCATCGGCAAATTATTAATTGCTTTCATTATAACGGAAGTTAATTTTATTATTCCTATTATGCGAACGTGCAATCGTATTTCATCTACTCGCTTATCACTTATCTGAATCTGTGAACATCTTTCCAACTTCATTAGATCGCATTTGATCACGCAGTCCGTTTCAAATGATAAGCGGATAAATGAATGTTGCTCGCATTTAAATGCATAAATAACAAAATCAACGAGTAATCGAATCGATTCAAGTGCATTAATAATGGTAACATCTAAAGGAAGGGCACGCTAACATGACAAGCAGTCTGTGTTGTTATTCTTGATGCGAGTAAAGAAGAAACAAATGCAATTTGGTGATGCGCAGGTGCGTTATTATGTTTGATGTGTAGTTTCGATGACAGTTATAGCATTTGTTTGACAGGAATGTTTATTTTGGAAACAAACGTTCGACACGATTTTGAGGTGATTGTTGTTCAAATTTTGATCTGGTTTTGCAGACTGTTTATGTTTATTGTAGCATGTTTTGACAATCAACTAGGCACATGCAGCGATCTCTAAAATGCATTGAATTCTGTGGTCATTAACGAAGGGAAATTATGCGAATACAGGAAAGCGTTAGATGAATCGAGGAATGAACGGAAAAAGTAAAAAGTAAAAATCTCATTTGTTATCAGGCTCGAAACAAACACGGGGCAGGAAAAGCAGTTGGTATGATTGATTTGAGTCGGCGTTTGATTGAGAGCTGTTCATTTTTCAAACGAGATTTCGAAAAGAAAATGATAAACGGCGTCACCCTGTGAGGGGCGAAAATATTGAGCTGTGTAAGCCGACAAATGGAACAATTCATCAAGCGGTTCCTGAAAAATTGCCCTACGAGTCGTCGGCAGCTTCAATTTGTTATTTTTTTCTAGCATAGCGACAACACGTTAGTTTCAAGTTCAACAAGTGAAAGTGCCAGATGTAAACCGAACGAACCAAAAGACAAGCGAACGGATGGACAATATATGATATAAATACATCAATTCACTGCTGTCATTGTCTCTTTGAAATGCGCACAAATTCATCTAGTGTGCTTAATCGATTCTTTGTTTTCGTTTTGTTCACGAAAATTTTTTGAATCCATGATATGCGATTGATATAGGGAAACAACTGTACTCCAAGTCAACTGACGATTGTTTCAGCAAGTTATCAGTTTCTTCGAAATTACAACAAATAATATGCATATCAAATAATCACATAAATTTGAGAGGTTTTTTTCAAAAGCCAAGATTCTATATAATAGCATTCGCTTCATAATAGCATTATTTGATACAGTCAAATATAATATCACATTTCAATAGGTTGTTAATGACGTTATGAATGCACATAAATATTGCATTTTAATGTTTATGGATGAAGTTTGTTAGTGAGTGATGATAATATAATCAATTTTTATTGATATTTTAACAGTCGTCATCTGTGTGCATCATCAACACAACAGCAAGCTAAGATTGTCGAATTTGAAGAATCATTCTTTGATAACCGAAAATGAACCGATTTCTATATCCATTCATTCGGGATAAAATCACTGGGATAGTTTGTGTAATGTTGTTTGTTGGCGATTCCATAAAACAGTAATGAGAAGATGTCATCAATAAATGGAACAATGAGTTCTCAAAATTAGCACCTACAAAAACAGTTCTGCGGACGATTAATTTTTAGATCAGCTCTTGGCTAAAGATTTTAATATGAAAAGTTCGAAAACACTTTCCACAAGAGTTGGTTAGTGATCAATCGGACATTCACGATTGCTTAAATTTAATTTTTATTCGGCATTCAGTTGAATCAGAGAAGCATATAGCATCAAGAGGGAATGAATCATTTATAAGGAAATTGTGAACTGTTACGATAATTCATAAGGGATCTCGAGAAACCTTATTGAAATCATTTAAAATTAAGGATTGTGTCATCAAGCGATGATTTTTAATGCTCTCAATTATGAAAATTATCAACAGATCATTTGATCAATGCGAGTAATGATGTAGAATAAGCTTGTAGGCAGAAGTTACGTGTTTATGGGTTAAATTAAATGCTGTAAGCGAATTCCTATAGTAGCGTATTCTATGCTCATTTCTAGATATGTCATCCAGAAGAAGATATGCTGTTTTCGAGCAAAACTGAACGTTAACATCGCAGGATGTTCCCTATCCTTATCTGATCATTAGTCTGGCAAAAAGTGACAAACTCATGAAAGAATAGTAATGAAATTATAATCGAAGAGATTTTGCTATATTGCTTCGTTCAAACTGTTCAAAGAAGGGGTAATTTTCGTTGTTTAGCCTATTTTGTTTTGTGTAAATTGCTTGAATGTTTTGCTCCACAGGTTAAAAGGTTCAGCTGTGATGCTACTCGAGTGCTATAGTAAGTAGTAATAAATCTATTCGCGTGATAACTCGTTTAGCAATATCAGTGCTCGAAAATTAATGCAATTTGATGAAAGCTGACCAGAATGAATAGATTTTTTGGCGAACATTTGTTGTACAATGAAAGGTGAATAGTTTGTAACGAGTGGTTTAAAAGAGTTTGAATGATATAAGATGACGTACAAAGAAATGATATGTTTTGAGAGGAGATTAAGTTCAGCGAATATGGAAGAATGGATGATGATTGATGTCGGCGATGGGAAATTTGCATAAGAAGTGAGTTTTGCGCAATTGCGAATAAGAGTTTGAGTGGATAAATGAATGATGATTGACACGGACGACGGATGGTTGGATTGATTGTAATGAGTGTTGTTTGTATTTATGTATATCAGATTGATGTATGATATATTATCTACTGTAGAATCGTTTAGATGTGCCTTCATAGATCATTCCGCCCTTATTGTTGTTAGGTAAGATATATATGACATTCATAATGTTGTCCGATCATCACTGCGATCCATATTGATCACTTCATAATCATGCTCCAATCACACATACGTTTGTAATTGATCATAATATCCATTAGGGTGCATACATTCAAACGTGAACAGTGCATATTATCGAGATCAAACGATCATTACAATAAATGAGTAAAGATACAAAATTGAACGATTATGTGAAATAAAACGGAGTATAATGACTGATAGAATTCAACGTATGCTGCAATGAAGCCAGATTACAGTTATACGTGGTAGATGCAGAGGAATGAAACGATCAATTTGTAAGTTAATCGCTTCCAAAGATTGTTAGGTGATACCCAATATATACACATCCAGCTATCATGTGCGGTTAACTTGTTTAAGATTAATGAATCAATCGTCTTAAGCACTTCATATTAAACCATCACAGATGCTTGCGCTTGCTTAGTCTTATGACTGTCACCATATTTTCTTATCATATATAGATGCTAAGCACTTTTGAGCGGATTTTCTTCTTATGGTTGCATTTTGTCGATATTTTTCATTTTCATTACTTGCTCATCAATCTTAATGCCTTCTGAAGTTATTTCAAGCAGTGCAATTTAATCTGTGGTATGTTATACTGAATTTTTATCAGCAAGGCATTCATTGTCATCAGCGCAAAAAAGAGATTAGGAAAGGATAGGTTTATGTTCAGAATTTGATGTATGGATAATTGAGATGAGATATAATAGATGTTCATAATGGAGGACGATTTTGAAAGAGTGTGTGATAAGTCGAAGGAATGAATATGAATGATATTATATAATGAACAAATAAATCAAATCTTATTACTGATATAAAATTGAAGTATAGATCATATCATGAACATAATACATGCACACTTCGACAAACAAACCGATGTATGACATACGTCAACAACATTCACTGTTTGAGTGATGTGTTGATTTGATAATCATTCAAGCACTGAAGAGAACACGAAAGCGTTACGCCGATTGCGTTGCAGCGGCATCGATCAAACGAACGCAATGACGACTTAAGCCGTGCAAAACGACCGATGGCTCCGTAAGAAGTTGCTTGATCCAGTAATGCGTGGGAATTATGCAAACCAACAAACTCACTTCAACCACCCAAACCTTATCGCTATCGGAACATGCCAAAGGTCTTCTTTAAATACCTGCTCACTCTTACATCTAATGAATTGAAGAATGCCATGAACGAGTGCAAAACTACGTTCTCATTACTATTACAAGGTTATTGTATCAATGATCCAAAGCGGTTCATCGCAAAACTCAAATCGGCTGAAATGGACTAAGCATGCAACTAACTATTTTACCGAGCAAAACACTGCTTAAAACTACATAACACAATAACAACAACTTTCGAGAACGACAAACACTCTCTGCTGTAAAGTAAACGATAGCTCATGGTTGATATTCTTAAAACAGATGCTAATATCAGATATGTAGATGTGTGCAAGGCTTTTGATAGATTCAACGTTCGTTTGTTAAAACGCAACGAATTGAACGTTTCACACATTCTCAATTACAAATTCTCGCATTATTTATTATTAACGATGTCGTCTTTTGTCTAATCAGCAAACAGATGAACGCATATCTGCTAAGCGCCAAAACCTTCCTGTGCTCTTAGCGATAAGCACATTAAAGCTCATCGATGAATGAATCGTTTCCATTTATCTCCTATTTGAGCACGTATTTATTCGTTAAAAAGCTAATTAAGTAGTTGAAACGGAACCGATTAAGGGATAATTCGCTTAATTCACATCTAAATAACTCAACGAGTGAAAAGTACATTAAATATTCATAGTATTCAACATTGATTATGATATGAAAACAAATTTGAACGTGGAGCTATTCGTGAATTTGTGAGACGAATCATATGATTATGAAAATGAGTGAAATGCACCTCAATGTTCGAATGACTTGGTTATCTGAGGCAACAACAAACGAAAAGTATGAAAAAGTAGTACAAAATGAATAAGCCTAATTGAGGAAGGGCTGTATTGTGTGTATGTGTGTGTGAATGAAGACTTTGATAATTCACCTCGGGAGGGCAACAAGACAATGCAATAGCTCGAGAACACTACAAAGTAATCGAATCTGGTTGTTGAATGACCCTTATGAAGGATGGTTGATTGATCGGTACGTTTGACACTGCATTCAAGAGTGACACAAACGTACCACTCACTTCCTCAACAACATCACTTGAGTGATCATCTTCAACGCCTTCTTTCACCCTTGAATCATTCTCTTTTCGCGCTCCTCTTCAATTTTTCTTTGCGATACGGTACATTCTCACTTCATCATACGCCTAACAATTGCACGAAGCAGCTTTATGAGTTATTCCATTCCTCACCAAAAAAATTCCGACTAGCTCATGGAAGTATTTGTGAAGAACTGTGCAATCTAGCAAGCAATTTAACGATTCTTTTACAAAATCCATGATCATTTTCTGCTTCGCACCTATGCAAAACATGCAATTTCAAGTTTTTTCATATTATTTTGTTTATGTAAATGTTCCGCGAACAAGCATGTTCCATTACGAATGCATCATCAAAATTTTAAGAAAAGGCATACCGCGGAAACAATTTTTTAAATGTTTCATTCATTCCACAATCACCCAATGACGTTAGCAAAGCGTGACTGAAAGTATGCAAATCCACTTTTCTACAAATACTGTTATTCCAATTTGCAATCATGAGGACGTTTCGTGAGGAAATAAAGAAAGCGAGAGCATTGCAGCATTCACCCTGAATATGTTTATACTTCAATCACGCGTATGTTTTAGATTCGAAACACGGGAAATCACAGGTAACTTCTAGAATTTGCTGAGAATCAATTATTTCAAGAAGGTTATCTTGGACGCTCTCTGTTCCATGAATATATCGACGAAGCATTCGGTTTCAAGACAGAGTGAACTTCAACGAGCTGAAACATGCGAATTAATGAAATATCCCTTAAGGAGTTTATTTTTTAGTGCACTTCGATTGCGTTTTCAAACATAAGAATAAATTTTCGTTAATTAAGTTCACATTAGTGACTGGTTTTGAGATTTTTATCGCGAGAAAATCTTTGCGATTAAAGTAAAGATGAATGAGTATGCATAACAATAACAATAAAAAAACAGTAATAATAATAATAAAATAGTAATGATAATAGCAATAATAAATAATAGAAAATAATAATAAAACTATAATAATAAATAAAATTATAATAAGAATAAGAATGGTTGTTATAGTTAGAGTAGCATTTGTAGATGTGTTCTGAAGTGATGAATGTGCAATTGAGGAGTACTCATAAAGTTGTGCACGCGTTGATTTCATTGCCAAATAATTCATTCACGTGCACTATTTACGATGAACAGGTATTTGTAGACATTCGGCGGCCGCTCTTTGAAATGACACCAGAAGACGATCGTAAAATGCCTGTAACTGTTTAACGTTTATGTTTCTTTTTATGAGATGTTGAGGACGATTGAAAGGTGGATAGATGAAGCGCTGATGCGAACGTATTCGTGCGATTACTATTATCACCATTTCATTTATTCACTTATTTACTCAATTTTTTTAAATTTCATAATGATCACAGTAATAAATTAATTTATTTGCTTCACTCAATCATTCTCTGCCAACGATCACTTCGTAAAAAGTGAATAAATCGAACAACGAACATCAACTAAATGAGGATAAAAGCATAATAAATCAAATCGTTTTAAAAGCAACAATACAGTGCACTGATGTTGCCCGCGTTTCGCTGTAACCAACATACCTCTTTAATGCATCCAGAACATTCCAGTCTTAATTACAATGATTATCACGCTGATGCATTTCTGAATGAAACGCAAATCAAAAATTGTGATAACTACCTTCTTCATTCTAATTATAAGTTGCAACTGCTACATTTAGAAAGTATCGTTCCAGTTGCCAGCCTCACTAGGCATAGCTAATATTTGTTCTAACAATTGTTACTAATGGAACTAAACTCGACATGATGAATGAAAATTATTCCTTGCTGGCTGACAGAAGATCACAAAAACCGTTGAATCAATGATGCGTGAGCAAATAGCACTTTTTGAAAAAATAATCGTAATCTTGAAGAGCCATAAGAAAATGCTCTCTTTTGTTCAAGCAATGATTTGATTGTGCCCTATTGACCACAAAATTGATTCACATTAAGATGATTTTATTCACAAGTGATTATTCATTCAGCCAAAAGCATTCTCTCAAGCAACTAAAGCGTACATTAGATTTCAATAGATCATCCTTAATCGTGAGGCATTTAACGCTCTACAGCGAGGTGCAATCAAATTAACGTTGCTGCATTCAGCTGACTACTTACAAAACATGTTCTGCTAAATGCATGGTTTGAAACTATGTGATGACGTTGAATGTCGAATAAGAACAGTTCAGAAAATGTACTGCGAAAGTTTAAGGGGTTAACAAGACAAAGCCGCAAGAGGTGAATGAATGCGCAAAACTTATTGATGGACAAAATGAGGCTAATTGTTGCTGAGAGGACACGTCAGATAGTGACGTATCGTCATGAGAGGATGGATATGTTGAGCTCGGCTCATTCAGCTGTTACTCATCAGGGAATTAATTTTATCGCACCAACAGCCCACGATGCAGAAGCATATTGCTTTTTAGTCGGTTGGTTCAATGCAATTCCATGATATTGCTTCGTTTCATTCAATGCCCATACTCAAACAAGATGTATCGTTTTGCAATGCATACTATAAAACAATTAGCAAGAATTGATTCTATCATTTGCTCGCCAACACTCTGTTCCTACAAATTAGCATACTTCTCGAAATTATTTCATCTTGGATAATTCTTTCAAATGGTTGCATTATTTTTATTGCGTTTATTTCTGTTTCATTATCAAACACATTTGCGATGCACTTTCAGGAAAGAATTTTGGAAATAAAATGTTCAGAAATTACTAAACACATTTGGTTTACTGTGTCAGTCAGATTACTTGAGTGTTTTTTCGTGCCACATAGTATATGAAAAATAACTCACTTCTATGTGATATTCCATCCGGTTCTGCTCACAATGAATGCATGAGTGAAAATTTGTTAAGTCTAGCATCGATGAAGGTTTTCCGCGAAGTTTTTATCTGAGTTCGGTGCCAACTGTGTGTTGATTTCAGAAAAAGAAATATTCGAAAGTGCACTCAAGAAATTAACGTTATGTAAACGAAACAGTATAGCATTAGAGAATGTACACTGTAATAGGAATAAGAAAGAGGCAAACAAAGAAACGCAAAGATATGGTGGCAATACGGAGCAGATCAATGTTTATTGTGATTAATTGGTAGATTAGATATTATAGATAGCAGATGATCCCATCAATGTGAGTTTAGCAATGCACTGCGTAATCATCGGTCGAACTTAGTGTTTACCGCATACTGCTATTCGAATTAGATTAGAGCAGAAGGATGTGCAATGATAAAAAGAGCGATTTATGATGATAGCTGTTGAGTGTTTCAGAGTGGGGCGATCATCAATCGTTATCATATCATCCTCATCCCGAATTGTTGATGGTGCATTTGAAAAGAGTGACATGATCAGAACAAAACTGAAAGAGGAAAGTTTTGCCCTGAGGAGTTGAGCACTCATCACAACGAATCACGCAAAACAAAGACGATGTCGGCTGTCCGAGCACGCAAAGGAGCACATCTCATTGATGGGAATTAGAAGTGGCACGTGATCGCTCATTTGATTAGAAATTGTGAATTGATCATCGAATTATCGATTAGCGTCAAAATCAATCAACAAATTCATCGTTGATCACAACAATACAAACCGCTGAACATGCATCATGCACGGCAATCGGTTACGACCTTAACGCTTCCTTTAACCTGCATCGTGAATACCTATAAATCTACTTCTGTCGATGTTGATGTGTAATGAATTCACCTATCACTTTTTTTCTCCTCTCAAGACTAATTTATCTGAAATTTTAAGAGAATTTCAATGGTGACTACTTCTATTGCTCGCAGCGTATTATTATATGAAGTTTTCCGAAATTTTCACAGCTCAAAATAAATTGCTAAAATTTATGCTATTAACAGTGCTCTCTCGAGAACATGACAATCTTTTAATAAACAAACCCAATTGTTGCGACCTTGCTCTATAGGCTTACCAATGGAAGTGACGTTTGAGGATTCATGCAACAGGCTCAGAATGAATATTATAAGATATGCAATGCAATTTTGATCCATCTTTCTTCCTTCAGGTCTATTGGCGAAAAATCAAAACAGTTAGATTCAAAAGATCAAATGAAACTTTCTCTGCTATTTTCATCTCACTGGAACACGAACAGGAAAATGTTCGAAGTATAAATAGTATGCAGATGAATGATGAGACTGTTCACATCTTCTAATGTATAATAAAGCTAACTACAGTGGTTTTGAATTCTAAAAAAAAAGATGCTGACCTGATAAAATATAGCCAAGAATTGTTAATGAACTCATGAAAAAAGGAAAAAATGAATGCATTTAGCAATGTTATAAGATTGAAGTTGTGGATCGAGTAGTTAGTAGCTAAGATATTGAAGAGATGTAACGCCTACTGAATTTTTTGCCGAAACTGAAATATCAGCTACCGACCGATAGAGATCAGACTAATACGTTATTCGTGGTGCAACAATACCGATTGAAAATTCGAGCTGAAGATTGATTCCGAAAGGAAAGAACTTTTCGAGCTAGCGAAAAGGGATTGCGATCGCGATCATAGCTGGATTTTGCTAAAAGCACGTTTATCGTTGTTATCAGCACATTTTTCTTTTCTTGACATCCTTCTAACGAGATTTGCGCAGAGAATCATCGGTCTTCATGAAATTCTATGTTCGATTGTTGATTCGATGACCGTAGAGGTGTGCGACTACTTTCTCATTCTGTCAAGTGATTTCTACGGAGACGGTCTCGAAGCAAGCCCGAAAATACACTCCGAGGGGAAATGCGAGCGATAATCGCTCGGAGTGGCTGCTGGAAATAGTTGAACCAACAATCTTCCCGGATCAGTGAGAAACAACAATTTCAATAGATGCAACCAAGCACGTTATCACCGACAATAATAGTAGAGATAATTATGAAGATGATAAGAGCAATGAGCAGAATATTGCCAATACTGATGATTTTTGCTACTATTTTCGGCAAGGAAATGCAACTAATTTGCATAAACCTCACAAATGAATTTGAGTGAAGTGAAGATCAATTGTATCAGCGCATCGTTCAAAATATCAAACGCTCAATCATAACGAACACTTCAAAAACAGCTGCGAAGCAATTTCGTATGGTTGATATTTTAAAAAAATCATATGCTAAAATGATGAATACATATTATGTGAGCAATTCATCAAAAACTTACTAAGCAATATACGAAAATTCAACCTTCTTTTAGTTTATTTTATGTTCACACATTCAGTTTGGTTGAAATGTCGGAATTAAATTTATGTTTGAGAATATGATAGCGTTGCAATGGATGCATATGTTGCTGAAGTTCATTGTTGAATTTTGAGTCATTTCTGTATGCATCATGAATACAAGGCGCTTTTTGCACATTGCTTCGTTTTAGAAACATTGCGATTACGGTAATTCCACGATTATTAAGTCCCTTGAGATTCTCAAGGTTAGAATCGCCAGATTCACAGGCATAGAATGTGGTACACAAATAAGGTCGATGTTGCCTTTCTTGTTTGTATGCCATAAGCGGTCAGTAAGCTGCTTTTCTAGCAATCTGATTCCTATCTTGGAAGTTGTAACGAAATGAATGATGTAACATATAATATTTTGGATGCAATTCATTCATGTACGCAATTTAAATCGAACTTGACCATGTCGGAATCGCACGAACAGAATCTGGGGTTTTGAACCGAGACTTTGATCAAACTGTAGAGCTCTTGATGGTGATCATGAATCAGTTTTCATTTTCTGCGAAGTAACTCCCGTAGAACAAACTAATGAGGCTCAGCAGGTTAAGCACTAGATTGACTTTGAGATGGTCAAGATTAAAGGAATGGTAGCGCTGATGTTTTAGTTCCTTCGATGTAAGCCTCCACCTCGAGTCAATGCTCACAAACTATCCAACCATCTCTCTCGCAATTTTTTTAAAATTTTCATGATTTTTAGTTATTAGTATGCATAATGGACATTCTTATTAATGATCAAATCAACGATATGAATTATAACGGTAACAACCAACAAATGACGCCTTATCGCAGAAATCGATATTATACTTTTTTTAAAACCTTGTAGAAAACAAAATTCAAAAACAGTTTGAAGCCTTGCTAGGCTGGTAATAAATGAACTGGTTAATTGGAAATCAAATTCAATTTCCTACAAATAATGACTAGATACATCACAAAATAAATGCAAAATTAGAAGGAATGGTGCGGACGCTATTTGAAGTTGAACCAACGCCCTCACACGGTTAATTATTACCTTTATGTGCAAAGCTACGCCAGGCGTATTTATCCTCCTTCAGGTGAAAACCTCATTAAAGCAATTATTTACTTTGGATTGCCCCACTTGCTTCATAGATGCATTCCATAGAAATAAAAAAGTGTACTCGCAATCAGCATGAGGAGTCCTATAATCTAGCACTGCTCATGTTCAAACTCAGCGATGCCTAGTTCGAAAAAAAATCGGTCCAGCTACAACCCCGCATTTTTAAAATTTTCGCCTTTAAATTCTTCAAAATCTTGATTCCAGCTTCATCTCCGGCTTCCACTTCACAATTCCAAAATTTCTACTCCAGCTGCGCGTTTTTGAAAACTTCGGTTCCGGCTCCAGCACCTAAACTTCCTCTGCTTCGCTCCGGCTCCAAAGCAATCCAAATCCGAAAAAAGACTATTGCATAGGTCTTGGCTCTGGATGCCGAATGTTGATGTGATAGTTTTATTGAGGGAATCAAACGATCTTTGTTTTGGCTCCCGAGATTAGGTATCACTATTCAGGATTCAGATTCAGTTTAAATGCGTTACCCTTAAAAATTTAAAGACCAACAAATTGTTAAATAATGAATAAAAAGAAATTAATAAGGACCGAACAAGTGCTTCGGAAATGAGATAATAATATCATTCATGATATTCAAACTTGATAGAATAAGAAAAAAATTTGGTAATGAATACGAAAGGAATTTATCCGACAAACTTAGCACCCACAACTTGATGCGTAGTCTTCAACTGTGTTAGTGAAGTGATTTCTCTCTGTGTCCCTCTTCATCTCTCTTTATCTATCTCTTGTCAAGCAAACAGCTCACGTTTTATGATCACAAAGACCCCATAAATCAACTGCTAACACATAAACGGCCGTCGCTTAAGTTTTGTCAACGATCACTTTTAAGAATCGCCGCTCACTGGATCCTTTTTGGAATTTTCTTTGCTTTCTTTTGACGAAAAAGTGACCACAACAAAGATTTCATGGATGTATTGAAAAACACCATTGTTTCACGCTCTGTAGCACGCATCACTACGACAAATTCACGAATTGAAGTCGATAAAAACCTATAAAATCATTGATGAAATGATTGCACAGTCCATCGATTGTGGATAGGGATTTGTTGTTCAGAAGACAAGTGTCGCATAGGGAAGGGCGACTGCATCTTGTACTAGGCATTATTTATCTGCGGGATTACTGTGTTCATCAAGTGAGTCTTCTTTGAATATACATGTCCCGATTTTGTGTGATGTTTTCTCATATGAAAACTGATTGAGGTATAATCTCAGATGGTGCATTTAGAGCAAAACTCGGTGGTTTGCGTCTAACCGAAAGTAGGTAACTGGATTTCGATAACGGTACAATAGTGTATTTTATTCCAGTACCAGAAACAATAACTTTTGCGCTATATAATACATATATATCATTCTTGCTTGTCTCTAGTTGCATTCCGCTGAACTATGTACCACTCCGCTGTTTTTAAGCCATAATTGATTTATTAATTCATTTTTGCAGTCCCTCTTTGTTGTTTTTTTTTTGATTCACTCCATTCTATTTTATTCGCAGGGTAGCAAAAAGATGAGATGAATATTCGATTCAGAAATGTTTCTCAACATGGAATAATTTCAATAATTCCAACACAGAGAAAATTTTCATTATTCCGCTCAACAGCATAACAAACAGGATAGCTTCATGAACTTTGTACAACACTCAGCGGTTCATTACGACTCTTTCCCTATGCTTAACATCGTTGAGCGAGCATTTATAGAAAAGCATGCATTAATTCCTCACAGATATAATCTAGCAATTTTCATCAGTTTATCGTACACCATAATTGCACCCACTGGAAAGTTGCTATAATGTTGCACCT